ACAAAAATTAGCCGGGTGTGGTGGTGCACACCTGTAATCCCAGCTACTCGGGAGGCTGAGGCAGGAGGATCACTTGAACCCAGTAGGTGGAGGTTGCAGTGAGCTGAGATTGTACCACTCTACTCCAGCCTGGGCAACAGAGCGAAACTCCATCTCGATAAAATAAAATAAAGATGGGTCCTTAACGTCCTCAGTAACATCTCATCCTTCATTTCACTTATATCTCTGAATTAAAGAATGAGTAGTGAGTTTTTAATGCCTGTTAACCTTTCTTTTATAGTATGTATTAATGTTATAGTTGGTATCTAGTAGTAGAGCAAACAATAACTATTTTCCCCTGTTGGACAAAGCCTCATGGAGGGAGATAAGGAAGTTCTCTTTGCCTCTAACAGCTTTTCTCGTGTGTAGTTTGGTTTTGCTGTATTTCTAGCCAAAGGGAAAATAAGTTAACTGGAAAGAGACACTTATATTTTCCTCATCCATGTATGTGTTTCAGTTTCTCAAGTCACAGAAAAAGGCCCTGTCCTAGCAACTAGTTCAGGAGCTGGTGTTTTTAAGATGGGACGATTTCAGGTAAGACAGTCACTTCGCGTTGCCTTGATTCCTTCCTTTGGAGGAGTTGTCTGTATGATAAAATTACTGCCTACCTATTTGGGACATAATTGCCAGTCTAGTGATTTCTATTACATAGTACTTTATAGCTCTTTGTAGCATTTTCCTAATAAAAGTAATATATACTGAAGAAAATATAGATTACTTAGAACTGTAAAAACACGGTAGATAGTCGTACTATCTATCCGCCCACCTCCCAAGATTACTTTTTGGGGTGTATTTCCTTCCACTCCTTGTACAAGTGTGTATTTAAAATTGAGTACCATTTCTCCTGTTCCAAATGTTACAGCTTTTTTCCCCATTCAGTAATTGGTTTACCTAACCAGTCTCCATCATCATCTCTAATTTTTCCAACATAATAAGTTAAGTAACAGCAAACATCTTTGTGTATAAAAATGTTTTCCACATTTAAAATAACTGTCATAAGATTAATTCTTTAAATTAAAACACATGATACCATATCACTTTATTTTACTAACTGTCCAACATGTGAGCATTTTCTGGCTGGGAAGAGAAAGTGATATTTTTCTCATTTGTGAACAGGTCCTGAGCGTTGATAGGTGGGCTGAGTTTGTATCTGTAAATACATGGACAAACCAGAGCAAGGATCTGGTTCCTCTTTTTTAGTCACCAGTTAGTTGTGTTGATTCTTAAGGATTAACAGGCATTTAACATTTACCTTGTAGTTTTTCTTATTCACAGGCAACCCTAAAAATTCTACATCTTGTTCATTTATTTTATTTATTTATTTATTTATTTTCTTTTTTGAGATGGCGTCTCACTCTGTCACCCAGGCCACTGCAGCCTCCGCCTCCCGGGTTTAAGTGATTCTCCTGCCTCAGCCTCCCAAGTAACTGGGATTAGAGGCACACGCTACCGCGCCTGGCTAATTTTTGTATTTTTAGTAGAGACGGGGTTTCACGACGTTGGCCAGGCTGATCTGAAACTCCTGACCTCAAGTGATCCGCCTGCCTCAGCCTCCCAAAGTGTTGGGATTACAGGCGTGAGCCACTATGCCTGGCCCTGACCTTTTGTTATTTATATGTTGACTAAGACATAAATCTGAATTCTGTGTATGACATCGAATACGAAAGTAAATTATTTACTTTGTAAGCATAGCCACACAGAATCTGCATCTCTGTACACATGTGTTCTCTGTGATGATATTCAATTTTTCTTCATAGTCAAAGATGGAGGCACTATGTAAAGAGATAATCAGCCTACTCGTTGACAGGGAAATAAAGTGACTTTATTTTTCCTTTTTTAAATTGTCTATGATAGAAATTGGATATTGAGAACTTCAGTTTTTAATCTTTGTTCTTTTTTTCATCAGGTTTCAGTTGCCGCAGATGATACCCAGAAAGAGGGTAAAAGTAAGTCAGAAGATGCAAAGTCTGTTCATTTTGAATCCAGCACTTCGGAGTCCTCGGTGTTGTCAAGTAGTAGTCCAGAGAGTACCTTGGTGAAACCAGAGCCGAGTGGGATAACCATCCCTGGTATCTCTTCAGATGTGCCAGAGAGTGCCCACAAAACTACTGCCTCAGAGGCAAAGTCAGACACTGGGCAGCCTACCAAGGTTGGACGTTTTCAGGTGACAACTACAGCAAACAAAGTGGGTCGTTTCTCTGTATCGAAAACTGAGGACAAGATCACTGACACAAAGAAAGAAGGACCAGTGGCATCTCCTCCTTTTATGGATTTGGAACAAGCTGTTCTTCCTGCTGTGATACCAAAGAAAGAAAAGCCTGAACTGTCAGAGCCTTCACATCTAAATGGGCCATCTTCTGACCTGGAGGCCGCCTTTTTAAGTAGGGATGTGGATGATGGTTCAGGTAGTCCACACTCCCCTCATCAACTGAGCTCAAAGAGCCTTCCTATCCAGAATCTAAGTCAAAGCCTTAGTAATTCATTTAACTCCTCTTACATGAGTAGTGACAATGAGTCCGATATCGAAGATGAAGACTTAAAGTTAGAGCTGCGACGACTACGAGATAAGTAAGTATATTTTTTTCTTGTGAAAGAATGTCAGATAAGGTTTTAAGTCCTAGATCCTAGAGCCAA